ATTTTCCCACTTTAATTCATGAGTACTGTACAAAGTACCATGCTCATTGCTTTACAGAAGCTAGAATCACCACAGCACAAGCAACAGTGTCCCTATTTTACCACGGGAGTGCCTTGCTGCTTCCATTTTTCCGAGGTACTACTGCTGTTCAAAAGCATAAGTATACATGCTTGAATTTCACATGGCACAGTGCCCCCCATTTCATTCATTATGTCTTCATGTGTAATTGTTGACAATATAAAGGGTACTTCAAGAAATTTGTCCGAAATCCTGAAAAATAAGGGAGACACAGTATTTGCTTGCTGCCTTTAAAATTACTTTTTCTGTAGCGAGAGACATCTTGAGATAACTAGATATATTAATCACCATAGTAATTGCTGACATTAACTAAATTTCCAATTAGTAGAAACAGGTGGCCAGGTCAAGTGAGAAAATGAAGTCCTACCTGTACAGAGAACATTGCTCCTTTGAGGTTTTGAAAGAGTGGCTTATAGTAATTAATACGAAGTAATCAAATTCAACCATATCCCCCGGCAAAACAAAACCAAAGTGCAGATGCATGCAACTATACTTGGTGACAAATTATCTCGACATTGAAGTGAAGGCTACGAAGGCAAGGCTTCCGCACATTCGTGTTGCTCCGCAAGAAGGACGGCAGCCTTCGGATGATTTTGGTTTCACTCGCTGTCATCGTTATCAAGTCTAGATTATTATGTACACAAAGAATGTGATTGAGAGAAACATTTCGATGGGTCAGTGTATATTTTAGTGTCATATTACACGTATATATATTCTTTTGAGAACTAAACAGCCCATCTGCAGCTGTACACGGACCCACTCATGTCATGGACGGCATGCTTGCTTTGGAAAACAGCCAGGCTGAAAAGGTGGTGCTGTCAAAAAAATGAAAACCAAAAAAAGGCTTCCTTGCAAAGTTTACAGTAACTTTCTTTTACTTTTTACAACTGTTTAATCTAAATCTAGTAATAAATAAAGAAGCATTTCTTTCAGCAAAGCAAATGAGATAAATTATCAGTAAACCTAAGTGCTATGTTATGGTACAGTAGCAGGTGTGTGCTTCGGTTCTGCAGCTTCTGGAGTGCTTTCAAGAAAACTTGTCGCCGAGTATAGCAGTTGACTAGAATGCTATCACTATTAGAGGTGCTATTTCTTCTGTATTTGTTAATGTATATGCTCTATCAGTGCTATAATCACAAGCACAGCCCATACACCCACAAAGCAAAGTCGATGAATGGATGGTGCAATAATTGTCACTCATTCTGGACATCTTAAAAGAGGATGGCATTGTGCTTTTCCACATTTCTGCTTCACCAGTGAAACTGCTCAGATTTGGCTAAAATTACCAATATCTGTTGTTGTTTTTTTAACCTATAAAGGGTTTGAATTCTCCTATTCAACCAAATCACCTGTCTCCACTACTTCAATTACTCAGTCAGCAACTTTATTATTCCTAACAATATAGAGTACAGTGCATTATATTTATGCAGTTGGGACCCCAGAACTCAATGAGAGTTGTGAAAGGGATTCCTATCACAGATAGTGTCATCTACAGCCATGTTAAAAATCTTATACATAGGTGTATACAAAACAGAGCACTCGCAAGTTATACTGCTTTTGTCAGAAGTATCAGTGTTGAGGCCACCTGCAATAAAAATGTTCGTCTTTGCAACATGTTTTGTGAAAAACATTTGCGTTAATTAAACAAAGTCTTCCTTCCCGTTCTCGTTGGATCGGTATGTTACTCTAATAAGCACAGTGTTTGTTTTGCAGTACAACACAGGAAATTGATGTGGCAATAGGAGGAATTTCTATGAAAAGTGATTCACATCAGAGTGTTTAAAACATATGTCCTGTTGTACTTTACACTAGATGCTGTCGTTAATGTATAGAGCTACAATTCCATGCAAAGATGCACTTGTAGTAAATCACCAATTTCCTAATTCAAGGTTGTACCCAGGAATATTGTACTTAACACATGACGAATCTCGGTGCCAAGTTTTAGATAAATCAATGATGTCAAACAAATATTGCAAGGTGAAGCATAGATGCGAAAATTCATCATAATGGTAATGGAGACTACGGATATTTAAACACAAAATAGAGAATTATGGAGAATGTGGAACTCTGAATTGTTTCCAGAGAAATCAAGCAAGCAGACATGTCGAACAATCAAGATCATTACTCATTATTTACATACTTACGTAAAAATACAAAGGTCAGCCTCCGACTAAATTTTGTGTTCTATCTTTGATGCATTCTGATGGGCTTTTGTCACACACTGATCTATCCACAGAAATTGCCATTCATTAGCTTTTTCTGCTTCAAGGCAGCAGAGAAAAGGGGTTTGTTGTGGAGACTTAAGTGCTCATTGTAATAAATGTTCAATGACTCACTACCTAAACCAAGTTCCTCTTCCTCACCATCTTCCTTGGAAATACATTCTTTTTGTCACAAAAGAAACATTGCAGGCCCCAGCATATTCTCTCTGGGGCAGCAGCAAAATACACATGAAATTGGTCAGCCATATGTTCTTCATTGTCCTAATACCTAGTATGTTTGTGCAACGACACACTCGGCAGAGAAAAGAACCGAACAATAGTTTCATTTGCTTTTGGGTTATTAGAACAGTTCAATATTTAATTGTTTGAATTGCTATCATAAGTGACATCTCGTGTCATGCAAAGATCCCTGCCTCATGAAAAAGTTATTAGGAGGGCAATGAGCAAATACTGAATTTTTTTCATTTTTTTGGTATTTTCGGACACATTTCTCTATGATTGTGTCCTGGATGCAACAAATGTTGCATGAACACAAGACAGAACTGATATTCATTTTTTTCACTTAGAACTACCATGTAGTGCTAATTTCTATAGTGACTTTACTGAAAAGGCACCACTCCTTTCTACAGAACTACACTTCACGCAGTATGTAAGAACAATCTACAGCTTTTAAATCTAATGGCGAATCCCACGGGGAGAGCAGAAGCACTCAAAAGCACGCTGAAAGCGCTCTCTTCAGAGCTGGCGTGTTGCAATGTTGAACTTGTGCAGGAGCACTGTCATCCATTGGTAGAGCGAGAGTGCTTTTGCTGCCCCAAGATTAGCCAGGAGCAGTTCGTAGTGTTCTCGCCTGAAAAGCGGAGTAGGCGCAGTACGATGAATCACATGGCCTTTGAACGTCACAGTCTTCGAATTTTTCTTCAGCCGTCTAGGCTGAACATATTTCCTGCAGTATGTAAGAACAATGTACAGCTTTTAAATCTAATGGCGAATCCCACGGGGAGAGCCGAAGCACTCAAAAGCACGCTGAAAGCGCTCTCTTCAGAGCTGGCGTGTTGCAATGTTGAACTTGTGCAGGAGCACTGTCACCCATTGGTAGAGCGAGAGTGCTTTTGCTGCCCCAAGATTAGCCAGGAGCAGTTCATAGTGTTCTCGGCTGAAAAGCGGAGTAGGTGCAGTACGATGAATCACATGGCCTTTGAACGTCACAGTCTTAGAATTTTTCTTCAGCCGTCAAGTGCGGCGGCAATGGCAGCAACCATATATAGTTTGGAACCACTGTTCCACTGTTTTGTATGGGTGGCGACAATGACAAGTGGACCTCTGCCTAATGTGTCGTTGTACAAACATACTAGTTATTAGGACAATGAAGAATATATGGCTGACCAATTTCACGTGTATTTTGCTGCTGCCCCAGAGAGAATATGCCAGGGCCTGGAATGTTTCGATCACATGGTCTCCCACTCGTCAACCTCTCACCTGCTCTCCGGGAGCGTGCTGCATTCCAGTGGCAGATTGAGTGGCCCCGCTCTCAGTGCTCTGCCCCTCACTTCCCTGCCCCTCTACTCCTGTACTCTCAATGGAATTCGCCACAAGTGAGCTAACAGCTGATTTCAAAACTGTTGTTTTATGGCACATATTCACTGACTACTGCTAAATGAGAAAATCAGTGATTGATTGATTGATTTGTGGGGTTTAGCGTCCCAAAACCACGATATGATTATGAGAGACGCCGTAGTGGAGGGCTCCGGAAATTTTGACCACCTGGGGTTCTTTAACGTGCACCCAAATCTGAGCACACGGGCCTACAACATTTCCGCCTCCATCGGAAATGCAGCCGCCGCAGCCGGGATTCGAACCCGCGCCCTGCGGGTCAGCAGCCGAGTACCTTAGCCACTAGACCACCGCGGCGGGGCGAAAATCAGTGAAGAAAGAAAAACAAGAAAGGTGAGTGCATTGCATAAAAGCACAGAGCTTTACAATGGAAAATATACTGATCACCCATGGAATCGAGAACTTACATCTCACCAGTTCACACTGCCCCAGCCTTCTGACAATTTCATTTCATTGCTTCTTGGAAATAGGTCAGGGTGCACAAGGCGAGGGGGAAGATAAAATCTTGGCAACCAATATTTTTATTTGCTGACTAACATTTCTTGCCACTTGTGTTTGCAGTTAAAACACAGATGTGTACAATTTCAACAAAGTTTATGATCGGGTGGACCATAATTTTAGTAAACAGGACATAATGAAATTTAGTACACAGTACAATGTGCACAGTATATTGTACACAATACATAGTACCCAGTACAATGTGCACAGTACAATGCACACAATAAATGGTGCACAATACTTTGTACACAGTACTTTGTGCACAACACATGCGCACATTACAGAGTATACGGACATTTTAACAGCAGGCTAACGAACTGCGGCCTTGACATGCACAAGCAAGTCCATATACAGAAAAACACAGACGATCAAAGGCTATAACAACAGTCGGGAGTAATGACACTTAAGCGAGTTGAATATAAACCAAGTTAACTTAAAATTACAGACTAGCATTAATTTACAGTGAATCATTCACAAGGGTTATTTTCTACTCAGAAACAGCAGTGTGATAACTACCTTGGAATAAAACCACACAACATGCCAGCCACTACGAGCGCTAACAGCATCAGCACCTGGCTGTACCTGGGACTGAAGAGGCTCATGGCTCTTATTTCCGTAGCAATACAACCCAAGCTGATGGTAGCAAGCCATGCAATCACCATGCCATGCAAAAGAGAGAACAAGCGTCAGGGACGCCGACCAGCTCCCACGGTGCTCTAAGGGTAAGAAGGCACGGTTTAAGCAGAAGAATTAGACGAGATACAAGCACAACAGCAGAAAAATCCCATTACCAACGCCCACTAGTATGTCTGCGACTACTGCAGAGGGTGAGAACCAGAGCGCTTGATCGCATTATTGTACATGCAGGATATCTGTGAACTTACGCAGCACAATATGTGCAAATAGCACCAGCAGCTAATGAAGCAAAGGTTACGTAAAGCACTTGTTACAATTGCGAGATGCGAAAGATAAACGAGTAAGCCATATCTTGTATGTGCAAACACTGCAGGTAGCCGTCGTGTCGTGAAGAGTAATGAAGTTTGTTGATAGTTCAAATAGACGTGAACACCACTCACAACCACCCGTCAAGGGCGATCACACTAATCAACCACAGCAAAAAGACGTTTACCTCTCTGCTGGCGCCTTCAAGGCTTCTAGTAGGCTGCGATTATGACTGAGTCAGTAGACAATCTTTTAACGAAAACAGCACCATGGTCACACTAAAAGAAAACATGACAACTTTACGCGAGAAAATAATAGGCCAGTAAGGAGCTTGAGTTGAAAGGGCCGCAGTCGCACACCAGCACCACTGGCACAACGTTTCAAGATCAACACAAGGATGATGTCCTGAGGGAAGAGGTGGGAGAGGAAATACGCCACACGATGCTCCCGCCACCTACGAGCTGAAAATAGAGAACGTCTCGGCGGGCCTCGGTACGGTCAGTACGGTGCCGTCCGTAGTCGCCGTGCTTCTTGCATCTAGCAGCTGTAACTGCGGCGTAGGAAAGAACTCAAGCCTTTTGTGAGCTAGTGGTAACACGGAAAATGATCTCGCAGTTTTACCGTTTTCTACCGCGATATGTTTACGTCATAGTAGTGGACAACATCCGTTTCCTTTAGAGAAAGAACAAGGACGCGATGTGCTGAGCGATTGTGTGAACTGAGGGAACATGTTTCGTATGTTTCGCTGACGGTCTAATACTCGTCGTGCTTCGGTTGTAAAGCGTCTTAGTTGTGGCGTCTCGGGTTCCACTGTAGAGCCTGGATGTTTGTGTCCAAAATGAACGTTGGTCTTATAGACGCCGTAAAGTCAACTGCGGGTCAGCTGTACAATACTGTCAATTCCCGGTTGGTTGGCAGTCAAGTTCCAAGGGACTGCATGCCTCACAGTTCGAAGTCTTGCTCTGCAGATGGTAAGATTCCACCTAATCATTGGTCGCCAAAGTTTGTAACACAAGTACATCGCTATCAAGTGAATTTCTTTTGTGCGCTTTTCTTTGTGTCTTTGTAGATATCAAATTAATTGATGCAGAACTTGGTCTTTCTGAGGAGCACTTCTCTTCGAGTCCAGAGGCAAGTGTCGATCTTGTGGTACTACCTGGCTGCATGGTTACATTCTAGCCTTTGTTTACAGTTTAAAGGTTGTCAAGGGCGGGGCGTATGTATGCATTGTATTTCCAGACTTGTGGTTCTTTATTTTTGTTTGCTTTGTTCTTTAGGGGCTGCTTAGGTTTTCTACCATCGAAGATCTAGAAAAAGCCATAGAGCATTGCAAGGAGATGATTCTTGACTCTGAGGAGAACTCTGAAAAGCGCAAGACGTTGGTTATCAGACTAGTTCAGCTTAGACAAAAACTGCAAGAGATTAAGGTGGATACCTTTTTTTTTGTTTAAATTTTGTGTTTTACTGTTCTGTTTAGTTAAGTGCATAATACACTGAAGATACACTTTGTGCATGTGATGCCAACATTTCTCTCACACATGCTTTCTTTACGTTTTTGGGAATTCAGGATGGGCCACCTGAGGAGAAGGCAGAAGACATCAAGGTTGTAATGGAGCACCAATTTGAGTCGCGTACATATGAACGTGCCCAGCAATATTGTGAAAAGTGTTGTGGTAGCATCTGGGGTGTTCTGTATGGCTTCTACCAGTGCAAGAGTGAGTTTCCCAGTCAAACATCATGCTCTGCACACGAACTAAGCGTGCCATATGAGAATCAATCAGAATTTATTAATAAAGATTGGGTACACTAACAGGCATATAGTACACAGGAGATTGCATTGTCAAGAGACTATCCGGACCTCCTCTTGTCATGTAGGGAATGGCAGTGTAATATTTGCAAAAATTGAATCCTTGAATTTCTGGTGTTCAGATTGAGGCACATGATCCTGGCCATCTATGTAGTGCCTCTTTGTGAATAAACCTGAATTATTATTTACTGAATGCACGAAGTGCTCAATATATGCAGGGTTAATTTTCAATGTATGTGATTTTCATTAACGTGCAAAAGTCGAAGGAGCACAGCATCAGTGGTTGACCCTTTATTATAACTTTCAGGATATTTCTCGCCCGAAATCAGTAGTTAAGGTTGAGTTTAATGATGTGGGCCAATGTTTTATGAATTTTGTATGGTCTCACATACATGGTTTGTCTGAAAAGTAGTAGCACTGAATTCTTTAGGAAAATATTATTGGGGGGGGGGGGAGAATGGCAATTTAGACACATCCCCTTAATAATTTACAAAATATGCCAATTCTGCATAAATGCACCATTTCCCAACGGCTTTGTCACTCGCTGAAGACTACCTAGAATGGACAAACTGCAATGCTCCTGGGCCGAGCCATGGTGCTGTCCTTTCATAACCCCTTTTTTAGTTGAGGGAAAAGGAAGAAGCTTCTACTAATAACATCTAGCATGTAGGGTGGCTGGAGAAGATGTGTGATGCCATGTTTTGTCAGGGGGACATCATGCTATGCACACGCACTTCTAAGCGTAGCAAATCAAAATCAATCAGAATTTATTCATAAAAATTAGATACACTAACAGGCATATAGTATACAGAAGAAGGTCCCATAGTCAAGAGACTGTATTGGGACCTCCTCCTGTCGTGTGGGGAATGGCAGTGTAATATTTGCAAAAATTCAATCCTTGAATTTCTGGTGTTCAGATGGGGGCACATGATCTTGGCCATCTATGTAGTGCCTCATTGTGAATAAACCTGAATTAGCATCACTACTGGTGCACTGGTAGCTAAAACCCTCCATGACCAAACTAGCAAAATAGCATACCTCTCCTTCTCGTCATTTTGGCGATAAGAAATCGAACCTACTGCTTTCCTGACGAACCGTGTATATTCACTGTCACCTAACATGAAAAATTTCTGGCTCTGCAGCACATTACTGTTTCCACTTTGCATTGTATATCATCTTGAAGTCTCAGCTCAGCTTGTGGTTTTGAGTTGCACTTGATGATGTTCAACCAATGCTGACTTGTAACACTTGGTTAAACGACAAAAAAAATCTGAGTCTATGCCTTGAAAAAGTATACATAAAGTATGAAGGAAAAGTTAAAGGTCTCTTGAACTAATTTCCCAAATAATCATTGAACGAGCTAAGTATTGGAAATTATTGCATCATAAATCAACTTCCGCAAACATTTCTTGAATCTGTCGAGAGCAATGGGGTTATGTGGACTGGAGTTGCATGCTTTGAGCACTTACTTTCTTTCATAGAGAGAGCGTTTGAGGAAGTGGCAACTTTGCACTGTGCTTGTAAACTCTATGCACTGCGGGTAACTACAAAAGTTGACTGAACTGTTCACAGCAATGTTTGCTGTGTGTAGATTATGTTTTTTTCACCAAGCCTGAGAGGTGCTTCAGGACTCCTTCAAAGGTACATAGAATCATTCTGAACATCAATATAGCCATTAATGCAAAGATTATTTCGTGTAGTGCCTGGAGCGAGCAGTTTCCTCACTAAATGAGGATTGATACTTTTTTTACTGAGAAAAGTGATGCTGGAGCCGCCATTGTGGTGTAAATGTAATGATGCTCGACTGCTGACCCAAAAGTCTCGGGACTGAATCCCAGCTGTGGTGGTCACATTATTGATAGAGACAAAAATGTTTTAAGGTCTGTGCATTCAGATTGGGGTGCATATTGAACTCTTGGTGGTTGAAACTTAAGGAGCCCTCCATTACAGCGTCCCTTGTACTTGTGGTGCTTTTAAGATGTTGAACCCCTGCAATTATAAGCCCCATTTAGCAAAAATATGGAACAAGCTAAGCTACCCACAGTTTCTGGGAATTCACAAGTTGAGGCATTGAGATACTTTATCACATGACCTTACATAAGTGTATGAGGCTGCTGGCACTTACCTATTATTAAAAAGAAATATGTCCATCCTATGCCAAGTATCTAGCTTGCACGTATTGGAGGGTGTTGATTCGCTGTAATACCTCTGTCTCTGTTCCACCATTCTTTCCTATTCGGTCATACCAGTGACGCAGGCGGCTCCATGTAGCCATGCTCCGAAGCTGTCACACGGTGGTAGAACAGGGACGCAGTTCGGCCTCTTGGTAGTCGTAAACCAATGAACGCGTCTTCGCACTCTACGACGCTGACGTAAACGCTCGCAACATCACCGTCTCGTCCGCTGTTTCGACCTTCCGCTGCGCTGCCTATAGTCGCTGGAGTGGTCGAATAGGGTGGGCACAATAACTTCCCTAATAACCGAAAGTCCCCCATGGATAGTTTGAAGAACTTCATTGTTCACCAAAACCAAATTACCAGCTAAAATAGGCTAAATAACTCCACTTGTCAATTGGTAGTTGTCTGTATAGGGTAGTTTGTTGTGTCTTAAGCAGTCACATATATGCAAGCAAGAGATATTTTTTTATATATATATTTAGATGGAATGTAGACTACATGACAGAGTTCTTGAAAACATAGAGGCTTAAGGTAATAAACTTTGGTGGAACAAGCAATTTTGCTGCATCCAAAGTTTAGACTAGATGACTAGTCTTTGTTAGGGCAGCAATTACCTTCCATAGAAGAATTTCTTTGTAGCTCATTTTCCTCTGCTTTTTAAGTGACACTCAAGTGTGACAATCATGTTAGACTTTTGAGTCATTCATTCAATATATGCATGCAATAATTTCATTATAATAAGTTCATTAAATCAAAATAAAATGCGGCTCATTATTTTTAAATTTTGCACGGATCTTTTGCACATGAGTGTCAGCATGACATCACGAATTTTGAAGTGCTTTCATGTATTTGTATCTACATTGGCTGGAAAAAATTAAGTAGTGCGTTAGGCGTCTGGCCCTCCCTTGAAGACTACACTTTTCATTTTTACTGATTGAGAACTACATAGGCCCCAGCAAACACTTTCAAAACCTGTGATGTCACGGTAACTTGGTGTGGGAAATTCAAGGTGGTGTAACCACCTGCACTTTCTTTTTGCACATTTTGTTGCTTAAAGCATGCTCAATTCTTCATGCAACAAGAGTAATGCTTTTGATATTGCGAAGAGGTAAATCTTAATACCATGAAAATCGTTTTTATCTTCAGGAAGTTAATGTATAGAGCAACGAGGGCATACTGACATCAAATGTCAAATGTGTTTTAAGAGAAAAGGTGAAGGGGGCAAGCCGAAAGGAACAGAAATGGAGAGGTGAAAGTAAGCAGCATAAGGGACACCACCATGTTGTATGGGCACTGCTGTTGGGCCCTTCAAAGAAATGAATTAGAGAAACTGAAAGGGGTGTATGTTTATATAAGCACTGTACTTTCAATACAGTGTGTCTGGTTTTTCTTTTAGAAAGCTGGAACTACTATGGTAACTGTCTAGAATATTTATTCAGAATTAGTGATGCTAAAGGGACAATGGGTATACCGTTCCAGCCACAATGTGTTAGATAATGCATGGTTATAATGCAGTAAAAGCTATATTGTTCTAAAGCTTATTTAAAAATCGTTTTTTTATAAGGCTGACATCAGTCAGGGTACAAGTGGACCATCATCTTGATTCTAGATGATGATCCACTTGTACTTCTGCAACTCACTTTATTTCTAGATGCTAGAAGTAAAGTGAGTTGTAAAGGTAGAACACCTCATTTGTATAATTTGTGACAATGTAAAAATCTTGCTATTTCAATGTGAAGACCAGTAATTGAAATGTGTTAACTGTTTCTGGCGTTCGCTGCACAGTGTTGTTTGTTCCTTATAATATTAAAGTTGTGTGAGGTGTGTGTTAAAGAGAGAAAAAAAAAAGGAAAGGAAGAAATCAAGTCGACGAAACCCACCTGTATCACTTAGTGTTCGGTTAAGGGGTGTAAACTGGAAATAGAAGCTGAGGCAGAGAGAAAAGAAACTGAAAAGAAAAATGTAGAATGAGCAAAACTACTTACCTGAAAATATTAGATTGGGTGTAAAAAGTAGATTGGCCACATTCTTATTAGAGTAAAACACCAATATAATTGTACACATATATGAAGCCCCATGAATTGTGAATAATACTTATTATATAGTGGAATAAAATGTTAGTTTGCCACTTATAGTGTTCTGTGTGCTCTATCATGTTGCTTCTTTTTATTTATTTTTTATTATTATGATTAATATTTTTTACAGACTGCAATTTCAAATGCCACAATAAGTGCCTGAACAGCATTACAAGGAAATGTGCTTATGTACGGGTATGTGTCCTATTAGCATGCTTATGTACGGGTACGTGTCCTACTAGCATTTTAATACCGATTTTCAAAATATTAACTTGTGGGATGAGGTATTGTGATAGTCATGCTAAAATGTTTAAACTGTGTTGCGTGAACTGTGGTCACTGAAAGTTGAGACCGAATGAACTGTTGCTTGACATGAAAGTTGTGAATGGTAGCTTTGTTTGCTTTGCATTGGCCTTTTTTCATGCATGTCTTAAAGATACTACTTGAAGATATAGTTCAAAAGATATTGTTCCCTTTTATTTCTGTGGCTTGATGGCTAGTTTACGTGGTTAAATGCCAGCATCATTTTATTTAAACACGGATATCATGAGTAATAAAAAGGGGAGGGGGGGGGGGCAAGAGCAGTTATCTTCATTTACATTTGAGGAGGAGCACGATGTTCAGCATTTAAGCTACAGATTTCACTGATGCAACAGATTATGTATAAATGCTCTTTGAATGTAGCTGTAGTTGAATGCATTTTAGAAGAAAAGTTTGGAGCGTGCAAATATTGAATTTCAGAACAGAATGAAATAGTAATGATGCCGAATCGAATACAAATAAAAAACAAATATCATTGAAATAGTTCTCAAGTAATAAGACAGCCATTTTCAAAGCTGCCCTAGAACTCCACAATATTTCATTTCAGAAAAAAAAACAATAATCACCACCTTTCGGGAAGGGGGGGGGGGGGGGCAGAAATGGGCACACGTTTACTTTTAGCCAATTCAAAATACCTCTGTTTTGACAACTGAGCTAAGCTTGTATATGACAGGGATTATGACTAGTGCAGTAGTCAAGTAGAAAACTGAACAATTTTGAACCGTGAAACTGGAATACAGATGAAGATATTAAGAAATAGATAAACATGTCATCACAACATCGACCTCTGTGTCGAAAGCAAGTAAATATCAGTGTTGAAAGCTTTAAGTGCAAAACAAAACTCTTGCTTCTGTTATTCATAAAGCTGAATATAGTCATATTCCTCAATCTTGGCTTCGGTTGTTAGAAAATGAAGACGGGAATTAGTTAATGTGATGCTGCTACAGTATGGTAAAACCTGAGTAAGAGTGGAGTGTTTAGGTAAAATGCTTTCCTCCATTAATAAAAATAGTATTGGCAGTCTTGTAAGAGCTTGGGCTGCACATCGATATTTTAGTGACTACAACAAGGAAAATGACCTTTAGCTTTTCCAAAGTTTTATTGTTATGGGGTTCTCCTGCCAGTGCTGATTATTCAAAAACTATTAAAGTGTGTGGTATTTCACATATGTACAATTTTACATCAAACTTTCTGTTTGATGTACAATGTACATCAGACAGTTATTCAATTTGTTATTTGAAGGTTTCGATTATTCACCACATTCCTAGAAACAGTACATTTTCATACCAGACTGAGAATATGCACTATAAGAGATACCAATATCGTTCCTTGTCACTATGTGCTTTTCAATAGTTCACATTTGCATACATTGCCAGTATACTATGTCACTTTTATATTATTTCCATTGCCAGTTTCAGCGTATGAGAGGAGTTCTGTTTATTACAAACTCTGTGGAGCATGGTCATTTCAATCAGTGCCACATATAACCTATTGTGCTTTGTGTTTGGTCATTGTTTGGTTCTTACAAGACAAAGGCACTGATCAATTAATGTTCAAAAGTCTGTTATTAGACAGGTTCTCACATAAATAGTGAATGCTCAATTGCTCATTGTGCAGTTTAAACTAGGCTGAAATCACCGTAGTGTATTTTGAAGAGTTCATTGCCATGGAAAATTTTGTGTGTGCACTTTTCTGTGCCTAATATAACAATGGACCTCTCTCTCTTTTCCCCTGCAATAATGGGAGTGCATTGCATAGACCAGTGAGAGGCCAGCTTTATGAAAGCTGAAAAGTTGGAAAGTTGGGCTGAAAGTAAAGTTTGCAGGAATGTGGCACCGTTGCTCTACATTTTGCTTGCTAATATGCCTCCAGACTCCCTGAAGTGTCGGCATGTTCTGTTGTATATAAAGATAAAGCAGTACTTGGTATCATTTTAACAATTTCTGTTGCTCCACGTTTTTTTACTGTATCTTGCTCCTTAGTGGAAAAGTTGTACTGAACAGGTAGCAGTGTTTCACTTTTGGTGGACTTTCGAACAGAAATCAGTACATACTTATATAAATGACGTATGTTGGTACTGAAATATTTGGTGCTGTGGCTGTTTTAATACCACAAAGATTAATAAAAATGATAAATTTTTCAGATGCAGGAGAAAAGTGAATTTGTGTTGGAGATCTGCCCTGAGCAAGGATTATCAGCTCAAGGATATCGATGTGCTGAGTGTGGCCAGAATGTTTTTCCTCGTAAGTGGTATCCAATCCTTCGTTTTGCATGCCACCCAGCGTGTTCACACTGCTTTTGACTGTTGTGTGCACTTGTATGAAAATTTCTTTACAAAGTTAGTCGAGAATGGTACGTAGCTAGCTTTCTTGACCCTTTCGCTGTCAATGTCTGCTTGGTTTTATGAATATCTGGGAAACTTTAAATAATCAACTTCTTGTGCATTTGTTTGAAGAGTTGCACTCGTGGACAGTCCAGAACGTGACACTTAGAAAGTAAACTGCTTAGCTGCAATATCACATTTTATCCACATATTTTCTGTTTGCCATGCACACTTCAAGAGTAACTGCCCCACTATCTCAACATAAGTTGCACTCGTGGACAGTCCAGAACGTGACACTTAGAAAGTAAACTGCTTAGCTGCAATATCACATTTTATCCACATATTTTCTGTTTGCCATGCACACTTCAAGAATAACTGCCCCACTATCTCAACATAAGTGTCTGATATTTACATGGTGCAGATGGACCTTGTTGCATATGGCAGAACAACTCTTGTACCTGTACTATAGTTGCACCCTTCTGCCCATAATAGCATGTGGGACCGCATGGTCACTCAGACCAGGAAAGTAGCATGCACAGAGCGACCATGCCCCCCATAACAAAGAAGGACAAACACGATCGCTCTGTACTCAATATATGTACATACCAGTGCCACCCAGGCAAAAATACAAGTTTCTAGAAAGATTCGACTGGTAGTTCCTCAGTAGAGAAGCGCCAGCTTTGCGCTTCTACACCAATTTTTGAATGCACAGTGAAGAACGTAGTGGTATGGTCAGTCACAGCGGAAGGGTTGTGTGTAGTACATTGAAAACATTGTGTGTAGTGCCGTATGCACAGCAGTCTTCTCTTTGTCTGTTGTGTTTGTCTAATCAGCTTTTATTCGCTTTGCATGGTCTTTGCAGCTGCTGTCTTTTGTAGGACTCTTTCTTGGCATTATGGCTTTGGAAGGCACACTTGCTTAAAGGGCCACTCACTAGGCCCCATAAGAAGTTTTAGTTAGACTGTAAAAGTTGGGGCCCTTTACCAAATTTTAGTTAGACCGTGGAAGTTGTTGGGTGTCCAATCAGGAGCATTTTGCCACTAAAATGTTTTCGATTGGTTCATTACAAGCTGAGAAAACTGTTTTTTTGAAGCGGCGCGAAATGAGTATGAGAGGAGGCAAGCTCAAAACCTTTGCCGCTCCTCCGCGTAGCCTTCGCAAGCCAAATCTCTTCCCTACCCTCTCCGGCATCCGACCAAGAGCTCATGTGCGCATGACGTGCCCGAACAAGCCCAACCCCCAAGCATGCGAGCGCTTTTTTTTTTTTTTTTTTTTGACCAGCGTTATTTTGTGGTTTGCTGCTTGTTTCTGCAGGATGGTTTAGAAACGTTGGCTTAGACGCGGTAGAATAGATGAGCACAATGAGTGTGCGACACGTGTAGGAGCATTACTTTCGCTTCCACAGTTGTCGTCTGCTCGATGCGCTGACTGCAGGAACACGAACGCATGCGAAACGCCGGCTCATCAGCCCCGTATCTCGTTGCAATTCACGGAGAAAATGGAAAAAAGACGCACGCATTCCTTTATTGCGTTTCATTGTTTATCTAGAGTTTTAATAATCTCTTCAAGCAACAGATTACATAAACTATGCATGTCATGTTAGATAATTTTCGCCATGTCACGTGCCACTGTTGGCAAGATCAGAGCACAATTGTCTACATAGAGGACCAATGTCGTAGCACTGCCGTGTACATAGGACCATTCATTCGTGCACGTCAGGCCCTCATTCTCTGGGTGCCCGTCCGCGGAAGGTAGCGCTCATTTTAAAATTTGACCCAATTCTACGGCTCTTAGTGTTGCAAATTTTCATAGACACAATCATGAACACCCCATCTACGCATGGAGCTTGTCAGCTCAAAATTGCCAAACCTAGAGAGTGGCCCTTTAAGTACTTACACATGTGCTGTACTCGGCTTAAACATAAGATTAAGCACAAGAGCTTTGTCAAACTTGACCAGATGTGTGAATGAGATTAAAGAAGAAAACAAAATTATAACCGAGGTTATTATTTTGTTTTTGTGAGTAATGTACAGCTTCTTGGGGATCACAACCACAGGGACTATATACATGAAAATGTCTCCATTGATTTAATGGTGGACTATTTCTGTTGCACAGTCCAGTATTGCTATATAGTGGACCATTGAAGCAAACAGTAATGCCAAAGAAAGCATCAGTAAACTTAATGTCAGTTTTTATTAAACCTATTAATTATGTGGGAAAAGAAAAATTAGGTGGAGGAAAAACTACTGACACTAGTGGCATTCACCTTTTTTGAGATGAGTTATTGACAATGTTAGCTATGGTCGCAACAGCCATACCCTATAAACTAGCTCTTGGTCAACTGAAGCTTTGTGTAACTGAAAGGTAAAATGAGTTTAAGCACACTTGCTGCTTATGTGTACATAGACACATACTGTCTGGAAATTTCCTTGACCTTTTATTCAAATAGTGTTCTTGAGCTTAATAATCGGATGATATCAAGTCACATTATATAAGTGTTGGAGCAAACTTAAGGGGCTTCCATGTAAACTCATGAGGTTGCAAGGCTGTCTTTAGCCCAGCAATTTGGTTGGACCTTGCTCGACCATTGTGCTAGACACAAATTTTAGAGCAGAATTAAACTTAAACATAATTTTGTTTTTAGTTGTTCATTTTGAAGGAAAACAAGCTGCACAAAATCACGATGGCAGGAACAGTGATAGGACAAACGCCGACAGAGTTACATTTTGCTCACATTGTTTTGTGTCCCATTCACTAAACGTGAGTAACATTGATTTCAGCTAGGGGATGGGGCAAAACGCCTAATGAGACACGGAATATGTTTTAGCAAGTATATGAAGGATGGCGTGCAAAAACGTGTCGAGCTAGTGAATCTTGAGATTCAGTCTTGGTTATATAGGCAATGGTTCTTGTTGCAGAATACGAAGTGAATACTGTCTGAAGCTTTTGTTTTCAAGCTGCATTTGTTATATTCTGGCAGCCATGAGAGAAATTACAGTTCAACCCCGCTATAACGAACGCCGCTTCAACGAAATTTCCACTACAACGAAAAATTCACAGTTCCCCGTCAGCAGTCCATAGGGGTCAATGCATAAATATTGTCACCACAACGAACACTTTTTTTTTCTGCTGTTCCACTTCAACAAAATTTTATAATGCAATTCCAGGTTCAGATATTTATTGCTATACAGAAAACCCAATCTTTAACATTTTGATGCATTTTCAGAACCAGAAAATGCGTCAACAAAGTCTATAACACACGTTGGCACCACCAGAAACTGTCGCTGTTCAGCAAGCATGGACGCCGCCATTGCTCGATAGCGATGGGCATGAGACTGCCCTGCCAGGCCCTGCTTTTGCCTCTGGCTTGCTTTCGAGCCGCAGACGATCCGAAGCTGAAGCTAAGTCGCTCAGTTCGTGGTTTCCTTCACGCAGCTGCTAGGTGCAAACGCAAAGCGATGCCTTTTCTGATTCCAATGCTTGTCATCTTATTCGTGCTTGGCCTGTGTGGCACCTAATCAGAGCGGCTGTTCATCTGTATTATCAACCAAATCAGCTAGCCGCGAGTGATGGATGATAAGAATGGCATAAAATAAGGCAAAAGTCACCGCTCCCCGATACCCTGCCTCCATCTCGGCGTTGTAGTATTTACTTCGACGGCGGACAGCTGCTGGTGTTAACGTGTTAATGAAACTCTTTGGTACGTTCACGAAAGCGGCTGTAAACATTGTTTCAGCGTGGTTTTCACCATGGCCTCGCTATGCATGACTGTGAATCGCGTCGTGACGCTGCTGGGAAAGAATAGGAAGCAGCGGACACTTTTCTTTAATTTTAAGAATAAACGTTTCTTTGTTTCGCTTGCTGATATCAGCTATATTTTTTCGATTTCACTACAACGAAATTCTCGCTTCAACGAATTATTTTCCACGCCTCATGAGTTTCGTTATAGCGGGGTTCAACTGTATTCAGCATAAAATTGGGTACATATGCTTAGACAGGAGGTACCAGGGCAGTATACATAACCACCATCAGCTTTCACTTGGCGTTATTGACATGCATTCCAGTAGCTTTGCACTAGCAGTATGTAAGATACCATCTGTATGTCTATGTACTCGCACATCATTGCATTAATTCTCTAATTGTCAGCCTCCATTCTGCTCCTGCCCTCTAGAAATATGCTACCAAAATCATTTTTCAAAAAAGGTATGGGTTGGCGCCCTACCTACGACATTGTTTCATTTCATTTTTTGTTTTGGCAGGTGCTGTCAAACATGAGCGTACAATTAGGATGAAAATTCAATAGATTTCATTCAAACATGAAATGCACAATTAGGATGAAAATTCAATAGATTTTTAACAACAGTCTGTTTAGTTGAGGTAATTGATTGATATGTGGGGTTTAACGTCCCAAAACCACCATATGATTATGAGAGACGCCGTAGTGGAGGGCTCCGGAAATTTCGACCACCTGGGGCTCTTTAACGTGCACCCAAATCTGAGCACACGGGTTTACAACATTTCCGCCTCCATCGGAAATGCAGCTGCCGCAGCCGGGATTCGAACCCGTGACCTGTGGGTCAGCAGCCGAGTACCTTAGCCACTAGACCACCGCGGCGGGGCAGTTGAGGTAATATACACAGTAACAACGGTAAAGGGTGCTCCAGTATTGGCCATTGGCAGCTACCCTGTGGCTCTTTGAAAGGGGTGTATTTGAACTTTGTGTGCCATTTATCAACTCTACACACCATGCATAATTACAATATTTGGCTGAAAGGTTCACAGCTGCTAATAGAAAATGTTTCAAGAGCAAAGCTGTGCTTAGTCAAGCCTTTCATGTTCTGGGGCCATCAAAGATGGCAAACGGGTATGTGTCACAGAAAGCGGGTAGATCTCTCAGTGGATATGTGCCACTCTCACCATTCCCACTACTCCCCCAACTCGCCTCTACCGTCCTGTCTCTCCTCCCACTTCATTCAAATCCCCCTTCATGGAACCAACTGAAATAAGCGAGACAAAGGCTTATTTTTAAGCCACCACCTTCGCTGTTTTGTCAGTCTACCAAACGGAGCTGGCTGAATTTTTTTTTTTTTCATTGAGCCTGAGAGGTGGTACAAGGCCAAGTGTTTTTTTGTTATTGACCTTTTTTCTTTGATGGCGTGCTAGAACATTCTTAACCCAGCCTATTTTTAATACTTTCTTTTTTCTTTTTACAGTATGGAGAAAGCAGTCTTGTATGTGATGTGACCAAAATTTGGATGGCATTTGTATAGAATATAAAACTCCTCACCTTTTGAATATAGGGCTGCAATGAATACGTTTTTTCAAACCAAAAAAGTAAATTAAATTAAGTGTTGCATGAACTTAGCTATAAGGATCAAATGCCCATCAAATTAACGTGTTATTTTAATGAAGAGACTTCTCACCAAATTTTATGCCATGTCTGACAGCACTACTCCACAAGCCTGTTCATTAGATTTCTGCCACGATCTTGAGAGCCCACCATTTTTTGACTCGATGAATGGTCAAGAGAGCAAGCATATCTTGAAAATGAATTCATTTAAATTTATTCAACAGCTGAGGGCACATATGCATCCAGGAAAGTGAATAGCTGAGGTGTTGTTTTAATTTTAATACACTAGTGTATACATGAGGTGGACATATGAAACAATTTTGGAGAATTTCCAACTCTGTCATGGTAACATTATTGCAGTCCATAATCACTGTTCATAAAACATTGGTTTAATCATGGTAACTAACTACCTTTGTGGCAAGTATGTGAATATGGAGCCTGCTATACATTTACTAAGGTGCGTTTGCTCAGCGCTTTTGCTTTGTGATCTTGAGCATGGTATCTCTCCTCAGTAGATGGTCTTGCAAAGCCAGTAAACTGTCTGTCCTACCATAATGTACAGTTAAAATAGTTAATGTGTGGAACCAGTTCTTCAACTCTCTAGCACCTTCTCTGCACCATTTTAATGAAAATGAACCTTGCTTCCACATTTCTTTGGCACTATAAAATGTGCATGAGTTGTATTGTGTATTAGCGATTCCTAGCTGGGAAAGGAAGGTAAGGCGTGCAAACATGGACTCAAGAAAATACAGTAAGACAACACAAATGCCATTGGTGTTTGTTCTCTTGTGTCCATGTCTGCTCACCTTACCTCCTCTTATGATGAATATATGCCAACAAACACAGCTTTTCATCGTTCTAGCTGTGTATGCTACACAAAAGCCCATCTACTCATAATAAAGGAAAGATTGATTATTATGTGGGGTTTAACGTCCCAAAACCACCATATGATCATGAGGAAAGAGAGTGAGAAGTTTTAGAAATTTTTTCACTAGCAGATTTTGCTGCGCACATTGGCACAGCTCGGGGGTTTGGAATTGAGCCTTGCTACCCGTCACCCTTGTTATTTCTGCAAATAAGCTTAGGTGATGCAAAAAGAACAGCGAATTTCTAACAAGTACGATGTGTCTCGACAAATTCATTTGGTGACATTGAGAGAACATTACTTGGCACATGTAGCTCTTGCAAAAATTTTGGAGCCACTGCAAATATTAGTTTTTGTAAAAGCACGAGTATGGGCTCGTAAACCTTCTATTGTGCCAGACTTGCTGGAATTAGGGTCCAGTGCCTATTGGTTTCCTGACCTTCGAGCAGACAGCATGCTGCAAGGTCCATCTAAAGCATGACAAAAGATTGTCACTTACAAAGTAATTTTTTAATACTCTTTGCAGACTGCACAGGTTGGATACAACAGTTGAAGGGTTAGGCAATTTATTTCAGTAGTTTGAATATAATTATGAAAAACAATAAAGTTGTCCTGTGTGTTTTCCCCCTTGCGTATTTATCTCTGCTATAGTGTGTGTGCACAAACCCTCTTACACAATATCAACATAGATTAAATTCTCCCAAGCATGTGGTGTGACACCAGCTTAAGCTGTCCCATTTAATGCATTTGCTTGCAGAATTCTAGCCCCATACAAGCTTGCTGCATCGTGATGTGTGTGTGCTGTGCTATGCATGCCTGCTTTGCTTGTCTCTTCTCTCTGGTTGTGTGTTGTCCTGACCAAGTGTCCCTCTCTGGCCGCTGGGTGGCAGGGTTTGTGGTGCTGGGTGAGGCCGCAAGTGCACTCATGCCTGCTGCCCTTCGCTCCCTGGCAGAGCAAGGGCAACCACGGCGCTGCGAGTATACGGGCCGTTATTACTGCTCACTTTGCCATTGGAACAGCTCCTCTGTGGTGCCTGCGCGTGTTCTCCACAACTGGGACTTCGAGCCACGCAAGGTGAACTCGTTCAACATATGTACGCACAAAAGAAGCCTCACATTTTTGCAAAAACAAACTGCTCTCATGTTCTGTACCTCTGCAGGTGTTGGATTTTTTTTATCATTTCCTTAAAAGGGCTTTTGAACATATGCAGCTGACAGGCAAGCGTCTGCTCAAGTGTCCCAATCGACATTCCGTGGTACTGTTGAGCACACATTCCTGAGCAGTTCTTCCCAAAGCTCACCCATTCCTACAATACCAGTGCATGCACACACATACCTAGTCTGTGCAATTCTGTTGAGACAATACATAAAGGCTTAGTTATGGTGCTCTTTTCTGTTCCTTTCTCTTTCTTTTTTAAAGAGAAAAATGCATCCAAACTACTGTGAAACATTGCAAATTGTGTGTTTTACCAGGGGGTAGGCAAGAATGTTTGTTTATTTTTGGGGGGTGGGGGAGCCAGGCAGGCAGATGTGGTTGATCGTCATTTTGTGGACTGTGTGCCCTAGTCAAAGAAGTTGGGCACATGGGCCTGGTGTGCCACCCCCTGGCTACACCGCTGTGTGTGATGGTTTTAGAACTTTTTATCAGCTGGTGTGGGAGAGTGGTGCAAATATTTCGGGTCATTCCTTTTTGCCGAATGTACGAGTCCTGTTGAAAAAGTATCCGACCTTTGGTGGAAGAAAAAAAAAAACTGGCATAATTAGAGTGTTGGAAACCTAGCCCCCACAAATTAGTCCCCTTGGGACTCTGCACACTTCTCCCAGCGGTGCTGCCATTGTTGGAAGCACATTATGATAAAGCCTCTTTCGGAATGGAGCTTATCTCAGGTGTCATTGCAGCCATAATGTCCTTCCTTGTCTCAAATCACTCTCATTTCAATGTCCTCTTGAGTTTGGGAAACAACCAGAAGTCGCCCTATCAGGAGAGTAAGGAACCTGTTGAACTACTGGAGTCTGACTTTTTGCCAAAAAGTCTGAACCAAGTGCGAGGATTGTGCAGGAGCATTGTTGTGATGGACGCACCAGTTTCCTGTTGACCACAACTTAGGTCTCTTGCGCCGCACAGCACGTAGTTGGGCGTTCACACATAGGCGACTGGGGACATCACTGTAGTACTCTCTAGTGCTTGTTTGACCCTGTGGTGCATACTCGGGCACGAATTTCGCCGCAACTCTCTCCATGGTCAAATCATCGGTCATAATGGAATGTAAGTGCTATTGCCCACCTATTCCGCCATTTCCCGGATAGTCACACGACGGTTCCATATCACCACAGTGTTCACTTCGGCAAACCTGGTCATTTCGGCATGTTGATGGCCAACTGGAGCATGGCTTGCTCTCCACTAATGTTGTACGAGGTCCCGTCCTATCTACGGCTGATGCAGAAGCCTAGATAATGTTTCAGCTGCCCACAGTCGTACCGGGCACGATTAACGTCCCCTATCCGTAGCTAGTCTCATTGCAGCTACACGGGTTCGGGCGAATAAGGCAACAGGCTAGGTCAACAAAATGACATTTTATTGCTAGGCGTTAACAGTAGCGTGCAAATGTTGCGAGGAGATAGTATAGAAAACAAGGGTAGACGCTTACTCCTTGGTCGTCGTCCTCGGCTCACGGGGGGGGGGGGGGGGGGGCGAGTTCGACTTTTTTCCAAGGCCGGTGTCAGAGAGCCCGTACGGCCGTCCGCACACCAGTTTTGTCCGGTTTCACTCTCCCTGACGAAAATAATACCCTTTCTCCCTGAGGGAGGGGAGACCTGTTCCACACGCTGAGAAAGGGGGAATCTCGAGCGCCGGCCGTGCGGGTATTCCCGTAACACGGCTTTCGTGTTGCCATAAAAAGGGAAAGGGAGCTGGGCCCGCGTGCTCCCCCACATTGTGCGGCTGTTTTTGAACCGGTTGTACCACTTCTTGATCTGTGTGCGGCTCATAGCGTCATCACTGAAAGCCACCTTGATCTTCCCAATCGTTTTAACTTGGCTGTCACCCAGTTTCTGGCAAAATTTGATGCAGTAGCACTGCTCCAGCACTCTGTCAATGAGAAACCGATGAGAGCACAGCACACTACCTCACCCAAACACTGTGTCCCAGCCTCTGACGCTATTGGCAGGCGGGAATTCATGCATGCATACAAAGGTTCAAGGTCAGCTGATGTAAGCATGCTTGTTTCAAATCCATCAGGTGCTTGAAGAAAAAAAATTAAGGCCCGATACTTTTCTAACAGAGCTCGTATGTCAGGATAGCACTTAACCAAGAAGGAAAAATGAGGTTGAATGCACGAACAGTATTTGCAAAAATGTGCCTGTATTCTTCTGTGTGTTTGTTGCATTTGCAAGATAAAAAAATGATAGCCAGCATTTTTCAGCGGAAATGCTTTGTTACAACTTTTGTGGCTATGCCTGTTTTGTTTGATATTACACTCAAACCTTGTTATAACAAAGTTTCATCTTACACGACATAAGTTCGCTCTATCCGAGAATTCGTTATATTCCTAGCACTATGTCTATTGTAAGAGTACTCTTCATTTCCTTCTCGTTATATATGGGCTCGTTATGCTGAGGTTTGAGTGTATGAGATTAGCTGTATTTGTCTTGAGAATAACTTTATTACAAGGTGAATATCGGCTGATGAAAGGATCATAGTTCAGTGTACCTTTTACTCAATTTCTATTGTAATCCACAAATGTGATGATGAGCCTGTAGTTTTGCTCTATAACCTAGGTATATATTGGTACACCAAATTTAGTGGAACACAATATTCACAGCGGTTTGTGACATTCTGGTGAAGAAACCATATGATATATTGTGGGCATTTTTCAGAAATTACGCTGCATGCAGAATTATCTGTATTAATGTAACACTGTCACAATGATTTGTGACATTCTGGTCATCTGAATCATTGTAAAAACAAACCCTGTTGCACAACAAGGAATCATGTTTACACACATATTCTAACATGGCCAACATAGCAGTAGTTTTCGTATTGCCTAATTCTTGTGTACTTAGATTTAGGGTCTGTATAAACAAATCCTAAATTGTTGAAATTGCTGTTTGACCCACTCTGGTGAGCCTAATAAGCAGATCCATCAATGCTTGAAATCATTAGCAAAGCAGAGATCAGCCACGTGATGATCACTTAATGGCACACACCAAAAAAAGAGCCGATCACAAAAAAGTCACAGTTTCTCCAAAAGGGCAAAGCAATCAATGCAATAGCAACATATTCGAATGTTTTACGAAACAAGGCTTCCATTTTTAGCAGCAATAATAATTGTAGTAAACATGTGCTTGCTAAGTAACCAAGTTTCCTGCGGCGCGGCCACAGTAGATGACCACAACAAGGCTCGTGCGTAGTGATGGCGTTGATGAGAAGCGCCTCCCGTGGGCAGCGCATGCTGGTACTAAGGGCTATATGTTGTGTGTCGCCGCTGGTGGCAGTTTATTAGGTGTAGAGCGCATCTATATGTGAATGGCCGCTCCAGGTACACTTTTGGCACCTTTTTTTCATGTTGAGAGCGTAGCCTGTAGAAGTTCTTGCCTGCTGTGGGGGCACAAGTTGCGCACTGATGGTTGCTGCGCTATTCGCGCGCTGATCGTTGCCGTTTAGCGCAGCAACCATCAGCGCCCCCCCCCCCCCCCCCCTTGTTCGCTCACAAGGTAAGCACGCTCACAGACGACCCCGGCTGGAAAGGCGATGTTCGCTCTGCAGAAAGAGGAGGCTAGGGCATCCTTCCCCATGCGTATGGTGGTGTGTCTATATATATATATATATATATACATATATTATAGTCAAATCCGCTGTGCACGGGAGCCCAAAACGCCGCAACCCTACAGAGGTTGTACATGTAGTCCGGGTGATGAAGCCTTACTATGAAAGATCATCGGAAAACCAGTGACGCCTTCCAGGAATCTATTCATTGCCTGACGCATCGGAAGGATGCGTATGAGGAGGAGGATTATGCTGCGACATCCTGCCTGCATTCAAACAACGCGCCCATTACCACGCACACAGGGACACACATGCGCGCCGTCTTGTGTCGCGCAGAGACGATGATGGCACGAGCACCTAGCTGGACCTGGGTGATATGTGCCACGCGCTTGAGACATCTCGCGAAAAGGAGGAAGGCAGCTGAAGGACATCTTTGGTGTTCGACTGACGCGCAGTTCTACGACCATAGTCACTTTGAGTTGTGGGCACAGGTTCGCCCTTTTAATGAATACATTTTACACAAACACACACACCTGATTGATGGCAGTGGCGGTGGCAAAAACCAGCCGAGACTGTCCATATAAGTGATATCGCAATAAAAAAGAGAATGATTGTTCTCACACCCTTAACTCCAAAAGCTCTTCTACATGGACGGTATGCTGCAGCACCTGTTTTATAATAAACCTCATTTTTTTAGGTGCCAGCAATTCTACGTTTCTGTTCTTGTGTGAGATGTACTTGCAGCATCAAATCATACTAGTTGACCCCTTGCACAGGTACTCAATGTGTAATAACTTATGCATTGATATCACAAGAGTTGTAAACTTGCGATGATAGCTATCCTTCTCTGCTAGCCTTCCAATCAAGTGGCACTTCTTATGACCAGTGACACATGCTGTGAACAAGAAGTTGCAGCTAGTAGCACTGTTGGGCAGTGCTACTAGCTGCAATTCTTTCAACTTCCTCAGCTGGAAGGACGGTATAAAAAAGAAATCTATGACATCCGACCTGAGGAGAGGGGGGGGGGCTTTTTGTTTAGCATGATTTCTGGTCATACTGCAGGACTATATGTACAAAAACTGATGTCTCTTCACCTGAAAAAAAAAAAAATCTTGCAGAACACCCCTTTCTTTAGTGAAAGATGATACTACCATGATTATCACCGATCATGGTCCAAAATTCAAAATTTAGCTGCAGGTAACACTGCTACTTATCAATGTTGCTGCTGTTTCTTTTTTTTCTCTCTTTTTTCACCATCTAAGTGCTCCTGAACTGCAGAAGTATCAATTATAAAAGTCATTTTTCTGTCAGGTTTGTCGAGCATCACTGCAGTTTCTTCGGCTCATGGTCAAAAAGCCAGTTCTCAACATTGACAAACTCAACCCTATGCTGTTCACATTTGTTGAGGATCTCCGACACGTCAAGGTATGCTTGCTGTCTCATAGCAACACTGCCAAATGTCATCTTTACAATGAAGAGTTTGACTCAGCGCTACGAAATGTTCACAAGACGAAGCTGGTTCACGTTTGTGCAGTGATGCCTGATAATTATATAGATTGCTTATCCTCAAAACACAGCTTCTTAAGATTTGTGCTAGTGTTGGAGCACTTTGAAATTGCCTTTCTAAGTTTGCATCATTAGCTACGTGTAAAAAGTACTGAAGTATCTGGCATGCATGTTCATCATTACTAAACTGGGTATGTTACCAGGCTGCTTCACAGTTAATCACAAGATTAAATAGCTAGATGATATACGGTAGATGTCACCTATCTGTACCTGACCAAAATGTGAGGCCACATCTTGACAGTGCCTGCCACCACAGCCTGAAAAACATGTGAAATTGGCTAGGTCACGCACACGAGCATCTGTTTCAGCAATGTGTTTGGTCGCGGCCATTGTTAGAGGGAACGCGGCACGTGTGGCCGCTCTCTTTAAGCCACCAAGCGGCGCCGTGCGAAGTGTTGCGGTGCGAGCGCAATCAGCGCTAGAGGCGGAGTTGGCGGTGCATTGTCTGCTACGGTGCCTCCCATTGCGCATGCTCACAATCTAGGTTTCACCGCTTGAAACGAAGTGGGAGGCACCGTAGCAGACAACACGCAGTAAACTTTGCCTGTGGTCCTAGATGCGCTTGCACCGCAATATTCACCCGGCGTGGCGCTCCGCGGAGCGCAGTCACTCGCTCAGTGTTCCTTCTTACACTGTCCGCAACTGTACTTCGTCATTCTGCCGTGGAATTTGGTCCACTGTATCAGATTAACACGATAGCACTTGTCCTTTCATTTGCTCTATGATAATGTATAGTGTTTCTCTGCACCAATTTTGAATGGAGTTTATTCTACATACTATCACAAACTGGTGGCTTCTGCAGCAGCTCAACAATCTTTAAAGTCCAGTTTGTAAGAGTGAAGCTTCATTTGCAAGAGTGAAACGACTGAACACATGGAGCGAGATACATATACCACTGTAATTGAGCTAGGCACACACGTGGTACCACAGCATATCTTGTAAATGGGCACCCTTTTGTAGTTGGTTTAACAATTTGAATGAATTGTGTCATAGATGGTCAGAATTTTGTGGCACATCTTTTTTAAATTGTTTTTCTTTTTTACTTTCTGAAGGACTGCGTGCGCGCACACCTAAATCACAATTATTGTTCCTATCAGTCAAATCATTATTTTTGGCCTGGTAAATAATCTACGGAGTGCAGCTTATCTGCATAAATTGGTGCTACCTGTTCCTCACTGAACCTACCAGAAGTATCAGCTTGCCAATTCCTTTAAAAGGCATTTGGAAGCAAAGGGTGGGACTGACAGTCATTACATGCTTATGTGGTCTTCTTTCAGAAACTGCGCGAGGACATTCTGCGAATGAAACAGTATTTGACTCTATGCCATGCAGCGCAGCAGCAAAAGTTGCTGCTGCTGTTGCACAAACGACAGCACTTCGTCGAAGGAAGCGAGTTATACTCCCTTCAAGATCTCATTGACCTTCATGATGGCAACTTGTTGGGCTATCTGACCCAGGTGCACCAGGTTTTCCTCGACCACATCACTAAGACCTGTGAAGTGAGCAAGCCTTTTTTGTTATGGCTGCACTTAAAGCTGTGCATGATTTCATGCAGCAGTGCTTTGGCAGTCATGCTAGTGCTTCATGAATATTCAGAACTTATGCTCCAGTTTTGTGTATGACACACTTTGCTTGTATTGATTTCTAGAAAACAGGTAGGAGACTTTACGCAGTCTCATTCAGCAGTTGGCTTGAAAGAACTGGAGTATGTTTTCAAACCTAGTAATTCTGGTTTCAGGGATGCCGTGGAAGAGGCTATTTGTGCAAACTGTGCAACAGTGATGAAGTTATTTTTCCACTTGGAAGTGACACTTATAACTGTTCCGACTGTGGTTCTGTTTATCACAGGTTAGTTCTAAATTGTCTGTTTCATTTTTTTAAATTACTAAGTTGGTGCTGTCACCCCCAGGGAATGTCGTGAGAAATCCCAGGATCCTTGCCCATGGTGTGAATGGAGAGCCCGTCAACAAAACAGGACTGTCGGAAACGCGCCCGAGCTTCCAGGCTCCTGATTCAACTAAGCGAGAAGAAAGTATCACTAAAGCATTGATATGTACACTAGATAGCCAACAGATTCATATTTATTTCCAGAAACTCACAATAGCTGTTACTGGCATATGTTGCTTAACATTGTTTACCATCCGTTATTGTTGGCAAAGCATTCTGCTTAATGGATATACATGTTGCATTGCTAGTGCTTTGCTTGAAGACAGCATGCATTACGATTGACTGTTAATAAAACCAACCAGACATGCAGCTAGGGAGGAAATGCGCACAATTAAATGCCAAATGTTTTCTAGCTGTGGTTGTCCATGTTACTTGTATCCGGAGTGGTACTGTGGCTTCATTTGCCCTTCTTGAATTTGCCACTTTTTCCAGCTGCTGCCTTTGCTTTCTTCTTGTTGGCTTCACTTGCAGTCTCGCTCTGTAACCAGCAGAACAGCATCGTAATTCGATCAACACACAATGTGCCTAGTCATGAGCCCTCAAAATTCAGAAATTGGTGTGCTGCTACGTTCAAAAGTATAGCTGGATAGCGACAAGCATTCAGACCAGTTAGCAGGTAGGAATTAGGCGATGCCTTTTGGAAAAGAGGCACATAAAACAAAGAACTAATTTGGCAAGTAACTTCAACAACCTGTCACTGAGCAGGCATGAAGTCATCAAAAATGTGGGATAAGAAATGCTCGTGAGGACATGTACCATCACTCATGAGCATGTGCTAAAAATAACACATTTGAACTTTTCTGTATAAAGCAACTTCAGTTTCAAAATTCGATGTAATTCATTATGCAAGAACAAACAATCTTGAGTTTGTACAGATGTGGAACCAATCGTGTAGTTCCCAAATGACAAGGTGGAAGTATTTGCATTACAATCGCCTCTTTTAGTTAACTATGTTTAAAGCGGTGGTGCCATTAAATTTTGAGATTATAACAAACCTCCTGTGGGTTTCATCTGTGTGCAAAGACACTCCATACGAATAATTGAACACAGCAAATGTTTAGAGTATATTTTAATTCACTTCTAAAGTGTACCTAAATGCTCATTCTCCCGAACGAGGCCCATCGCTAGCGCGTCTTAACACAGACGTAGCTCTATAGAAAAGGCAGCAAAAGTTGTCGTGACATCACACCAGATCTCTAGAGTGCAGGGTTTTCCTTCATGGAAAAGCAAGATTCATTGCAGTGCCCTCTCTTCCTTGTGCCCTTCCCCCGAGTTGCAGCAACCCCCATCCCTTACATATCAATGTGTGCGGCTGACATCCTTCGTAAGTTACTGGGGAGGAAGCCCCCACTCTCCCGTGTGCACGGCTATGGTAGTGAGGTGACCAACCTCCACCACGTACATACCGGCAAAGCAGCGCGGCTGCTGCAGCTAGCCATGGCAACTGTCGACGCATTTGTTTTGTAAGTGCTTGTATGGCACGTGTATGCGGGAGTAGACAATAGCACGATGTGCCTCACAGCCTTGTGTGGTCACGTGACTAGGCCACCTACACTGCTATGTTACTGCCAAACTAAGCACCCAAAAACTGAAAATTGTCCACACAATTAAGTGAATATTAATTACTTATTATTAAGCTATTTATTGAGGAATAAGTAAATCTTTGTGCATGTATCATGCTTCTTGATGCTATAAGAAACGCTTGCAGCAAAGAATGTGCAAGCCACAAATATGACGGCACCACCCCTTCAAGGTATGCACAGTTTGACAAACTCTGGAATGCTTAATATGCACTGCAAGCCATGGGGAGCAGAGACTTTCTACATTTCTGGTACTTCTGCACATTGGTACACGAACCATTCAGAAAGTACTTTACAGTCCACTAAATGCATAGTCTCCAGCCTCTGATGTCCATTTCTGCACAGGCAGGGCTTCTTCAAGAAAGTGGTCGCAAACTGCGGCCCTACTAAACTCGGCGACAACTTATCTTGACAGTGGAGGGAAGACTACGGAGGCGGGGGCTTTTGCACATTCGTGTTGCTCAGCAAGTAGTACGGCAGCTTGCGGCGACAACTTATCTTGACAGTGGAGAGAAGACTACGGAGGCTGGGGCTTTTGCACATTCGTGTTGCTCAGCAAGTAGTACGGCAGCTTGCAGCTGATGTTTAGCTCTTCTCACCCACATTGCTAATGCATTTAGAAAATTAATACACAATATATGTTGTGAATGAGAGAAACATTTCAATGATTCAGTGTACATTTTAGTGTTACATTAATTTTCTTGAACAGCGCATTTGCGGTCGCACACTGACACGCTACATCATGGACACCATATTTACTTAGAAAACAGCCGTGCGCAAAAAGTGGTAACGTCCAAGAAAGGAAGGCATTCTTGTAAAGTGAACAGCAGCTGTGTTTTGCCTACGATTTCTCGGTACTATTCGAGTCTCATAATAGACAAAGCAGTACTTATTTCAGCAATGCAAATCAGAAAATTATCGGTAAGCATACTGTACAAGTTTCTTCTTTCTTTTTGTGGTAGCAGGCATGCAGTTTAGTTCTGCTAAGAAAAGTTGTTGCCCAGTACAGCACCCACTGCTGTGTGTTTACACAGCAGTGTGTGCTGAGAAAATGTTTTTACAGTGTGCACTGGCTTGCATAATTAAGTGCACTAGTGCACTCTTGTCAACCCTTTGCTCTCTGACCACTAATGCCACAATGTAAGAATTTATTTGGCATTTAATGTTTATAATTCTGACAGTCGCAAGGTCACAATGCATAGGTCACCATGGAACGTGGTAGCTGTTCAATATTGGTGGCTGAGTAAAAAAAAAATTTCCCATGCCTTCACAAGAAAAAGAGTGACAGCAGGCGTGAGGTGGGTGAGCAAGGAAAGAACCAGACTAAAGGCAGTGTTGGACTGTTATGAAAAAACATTGCAGAGACAAGGGAAAAGAAGACTGCACACAGACAAGGTGCTAAGTACCCTCCTTTTCTGTAATCATGAAGCAACTAGCCTACAGCCTAGTCCTTAAATGTTTCATGGGCTCTTCAATGAGCTAACCAAAAATTAACTACTGTGATTCAGAATATAGGATAATCTTGGCAGAATAACCGTTCGAAATGCATCTGGTGGCACAGCTCCTCACTCTCTGAGCCTCCGGCCACAAGGAAGACAACTACGCAGCAACGTCCGAGACCTACTACGTACTATACCCTATGGAATGGGTTCAAAGTGGTGGTATCAAATTGCATGGCGCATACTTTTTATCTTGTACACCCATCACAATCAATACATTTTGACTGTAAATGATGCCGATGGGTGAAGCTTCACCAGCAATTGTAGCATTGCTTATGTACGAAACTATGGCATGTCCAATAGAAGTAGACTATGCTAGGTGCGTGCACTGGGCTACTGCCTGCATGCTTCAAAGCGCTCCCCCTCCTACGGTTCTCAATTACCAAGCTACTGTTTATGAGGATAAGAACAAAGACACTCGACATATAAAACATACAAAATGCTGCAAGTTTTGCTACAACATGAACTAGTCAGGGATACCGAAACTAATGCTTACAGTGCAATATATAAGAGAGTATAAGACATGCAGCAAGTACAAATAACAAGCTTGGGGCCCGAGGCCAATTGTTAGACAATTGTAGTGTGCTATAGCTAGTACAAGTTCCAAGCAAGACGCATTTTCCGACATGATTTTGACAACACTGAGAAAAGGTTTCCTTGATTTTTCGGAGAAGCTTTTTCACTTAGAGGTGAGATGTAGATCTGAATTGACTGTTCTCATTGGTCAGAATTGTCTGTAGATCATATAGGGATTCAGAATTGATTATTCAAGTCTGGCTGGCTATTCTGCGTCTATTATGTGAGTGTTGAAGAGATAGTTGCTGAAGTGCCCTAGCACAGCAACAAAAAGCTAAAAAGGCAGACAGGACAGCACTTTTTACTGTCCTGTCTGCTTTTGTCAATTTGGTTATGTGGACAGTTAATTTAGTGGACGCTTACAGAATCTCGCACAGTTGTCCTCTTAACCTCATCTGCACATTTCCAGCATGGACATTTAGATGTGAGCAAAAAATTTTCTATGCATCTGAATTGTGTTGCTCAAAGGTACACCGAGCAAAGGTTTTTTTATGTCCCATGTTGTTTTTTTTCTCTCTTTTTTCCTTGTGCTGGCCGTATTTTACATTTCTTAGGTGGCTGTCAATTTAGTGGAAGGGCCACAAATACAATTTATTATAAGGCACCTGTCTTGCACCATCTGTGACCCATACAAAATGCATGTATGGCACAGCACAGCTTTGATCATGAAAAAGAAGCTCATCATACTCCAGCCAAAAGTGAAGTTAGTAGTTGCATGGTATTACAAGCAACCCAACCACCAGTAAGCACAGTGCAGTGGTTGAAGGCCACACAATGACTGTTTCACCAAAAGCTGCCAAACTTATGCATCTTTTGGGAAGGAAGAAGCACGCAATCGGTACCATTCAATATTCAATGGACTCTGCTTTGCTGTACCTGGTTGCATTTAGTACCTAACCATTCATTGCACTGTTGGGGAAGGGAAGCTCCATGAAATAACTGCTGTCGGTGACTATTTCGTATTGTAATGAAAAAAACTAGACAAAAATTTTTTATCAGTACTTCCGTTTCAACTGCTTAGCATACACATGTGTGCACTATACCAAGTTCAGACTAAGGCCCTCTTTTCTAGGCGAAGGCTAGCACTCTATCCAAGTGTTGCACATCTTGCGACAATTGATGGAACCAACCAAAATACCTGTTGCATAAATTTGCTTACTTCTTCTAGCAAAACGTATCTTCTCTTGAAACAAATATTCAGAGTGTTACAGGCCCTTCTAAATTCCAACTAATTGGTTCGAACAGCATCCATCACTTGGCAGAATGCTGAATGAATGCACAGCTCTACTTGCCTGTAATTTTCATATATAAAGCTTTCTATGATTACTTGCCTTGCGCTTGGCTGATGAATCTGACGGAAGAACCTTGAAGAAGGTGTCTAACCTCCCCTGAGTTGTGGTGTTGCGCCCCTTCAGCAGCTTCTTGGCACCGTTTCGGATGCGCTCTTCACTGTAACCAAATGAAGTGTTTAAAAACAACAGTGAAGACTGTAAATATAGTCTAGGCTAACATCAGTGAAATTTTAAAGTAACTAGTTCAGTGTACAAACTCAATATCTCGTCAATAATTTTTCGTACCCTACGACAAGTGCAAATTTTTAAAGCAGGGTTTCACTCAATTGATCCAGCTGAACAATAGGCATAGTAGCTTGCGAACGCACCAAGATAGTGGAACTGCAGGTGACAATACAGCGACTGATACACCCTGAATTCATACAAACTGTAAGAAACGAATGTTTGGCTATCTGAAAAAATAATGAATAATAACTAGATGCCCCCATTCAACAAGAAACAATTCTTATAAATATACACAATGCAGTCTTCAAGATTATCTTTCATTATATTCTAACAGCACAGCACATGTTTCAGTAGCAAGCAGTCCTTAAAGTGCATATGACTGCATATTAAGATGTCAAAGCAAAAACTGGAAGATTACCTGAAGCCATTCTCCTCACAAAGGAATTTTACAAGACCTTCTTCATCGGGATCACTCCATTTCAGCTGAAGGTGGACAGACAACAATGACAATTGCATTAGCAACTTTTCACGAAAATGTCTTATGTTGTCTTACTTGGACATTATCAGCAGGAGTGACCTCGGGTTCCAGAAAAAGCTGACGGGCTTCTTTGTAGGGCCAATCTTCAGGCACAGTATACTTCTGGAAAAAAAAAAAAACGAGACTTTTTTTTTTTCACCGACACAGAATTCGTATTTAAAGAAAATGTACATTTCAGAAAGAATATATGTAAAACCACTTATGCAAAAATGATGCCAAAGAATCAACTGCATGCCCACACAAAAAAAGATACTGAATGGAGCTGTATAGCACAGTAAGATGAGTCCCTCGATTATGGCAGGTTGCAACTTTTAAGCTCAATAAAAGAGTTTCGCCCTGTGTGCTATCCCCCACCCCCCTCCTTTTTTTTTTTCAAAACAGGTTTGGCAACCCAAAAGTATTGCTACACTATACATTTATCTATGCGAAAAGATCACAGGTAGCAGAAACCTTCTTGGCTGTGATAGGTTCAATAACTTGGCTTATCATTAGGGAAATGTGTAAACAATACCACTGAGCAAAATGCGAATGTTGGTAAATAAAGATTTTGCCCATAGTATTTAAATGTGAATAATCCGGCTGGTAAATAAAAATTTTGCTTCTAGTATTTACATGTGAATAATCTGGCATTCATCATGCTTTAGGTCTCACTTATTCAACAAAAAAAGAAGAAAAGGGGAGCAGCTGGCATCAACGTTGTGTAAATATCATCGCAACCCAATGTGCCTACAAAAAGCACTTGGCTGTTCATCATACCTTGGAGTCAATTGCAGTGATTATTTTTTCAATGCACTTGTGCTGCTTGATGAGCTCCACTGCACGTTTTGGTCCGATTCCTCGAATACTTTCACAGTAGTCGCACCCAAGTAGAATGCAAAGATCTATAAACTCGTCCCGATTCATTTCAAGCCCACTGAGTACTTTGTCAAGGTGGAACTCCTTGATTGGCATTTTCCTGTGAAAATATGTAAAAATTGAGATTAGAGAAAAAGGTGTGAGGTTGCATCTTGACATCAGATAAAGCTAGCGCGATGAAAATGTGACCCACCGAGCTTCACTGTATGTCATGTGACGAAGCAGGACATTTGTGCCAAAAGTTAAGCCGTCCATGTCTTCAGTTGCCGTCCCATAAACCTTGCCACCTTTCACAAGCTCGGCACACTGAGCTTCAGCTTCGCATGGGGCCTGCAGTAAATGAAAGCAACGGGAGCATGGCAAGCATGCAAGTTTAAGTAAATGTTCTCCTTGTAAGGATCAACATGAAACACAAGACAGCTTTTTCATTTGGTTAGATGGTCACGATCAAAACATGACGTAAACTTACTTCTATGTATGGTATGCCCATAAGAGCTAGAAGCTTCTTGCAATCTTCGCTATGTTGCTTGGTCACTTTTACGAGTCGCTTGCTGAATTTATTGATTTCTTCTTGGTTTCCTAGAGCAAACATGAATGGGTGAAATAAGTTCTACTATATTAAGTGCCAAAGAACAGAACTATAAAAAGCACGCACGTTCCTTGTAAAGACCTCCACACTACTGTCTAGAGCGCTGCACTGCACAGCAAGGAGCAATAACACTGCAGGTGCTGGGTTCGAGTTATCGAGTGAAATGCTGCAGCTCGCGAATTCGTGTTACATTATCTGTTCGCAAAAGTTGTCTTTCGTCGCGGCGCACCGATGCAGAGCTCTGTCAAGACAGCGTGGACAACGGTACAACGACGCGAACTGCTAGCTTGTTTGCAGTCCAACTACGCAGCATTTCTTTTTCTAAGCTGACGTCGTCAATGGATTGAAACAAAAAAAAATAAAACTGCGTCGTTTACAGCAACAAGCATACTAACCTGCCTCTTCCGCTTTCTCCAGCTCTTTCTCGGCTGCTTCTCTGCGCTCTTGGCGTTTTTCAAGCTGAAAACAAGTGATCGCGCAGGTCATTATTGTGCTGCACGATTGAAGCGATAGAAGCCCGGGACTAGTAGACGTACCTCCGACGATTTCATACCCGGCGGCTTTCCATCAAAAACGTACACGGGTTTGATGCCATTCTCAATCATTCGAATCGTTCTGTAGAAGAACCCGACCAGGTGGCTGCAGATAAAAAAATTAACACGAAATTCCACGTTAGCCTGCGTACAAAAAGTTGCCAATACACAACGTACGCTCACCTTGTGGTCTCGCCTTCACTGTTGGTAAGCATGTTGTTTTCTTGGCGCACTGCGATCAGGAACTGGTACAGACACATTGACGCATCTATAGCAATTTTCCTTCCTGGAAAGACGCGGGTACTGAAGTCATTAATTGTTCACCACAAATAATTATTAGAATAATATACCAGAACGAGTAAGACAATGACATACCGAAGTAGCTCTTGATGTCCGATTCCTTAATAGCATCGGGTGCATTGTCAGCGATTACCTTCGATAAACCCGTGATTCCCATGGCCTCAGAACGAGTAGAGTGGGCAAAGAAACTGCCAAATGATTTCTGAAGGCACTATTAAACTAACAAAACAATTTACGCTCGACTGCGCTCCGATCACATCGCACTTCCCGCAAGGGCAGAGACACGCACACACGCTCCCGCCAAAACCAAACCAACCAAACGCATGACCAAACGCTTGGTGCGCAAGTTGATGATGTAATGAAACAAATGATTCGGCTATTTCTACACCAACTATAGAGTTAATATACCTATAACAAGTTCTTTGAGGGTAAAATGTAATAAATGTTTTTATAGTTATAAATAGAATAGTATTTTTTTATCTCAGAAGTGCTGTTCGGTGCATCGGTTTCGGTTTCGGCTAAATTGGCCAGATTGCATCGGTCCGCGGTGATTTACCAGTGGCCGCTTTTCAAAGTTTCAAGGTAGCTATGGACTATTTGTAGGAAGGGCTTGAATTCACCCATTCGACTCGATCAGCCATCACCACTGGTTAAAAAGTTAATTTCATTAACTTCTATAATTACTGCCGTTTAATGTTTGTACCCATCTGAAGTTGCATTCTGCCAGAGGAAGGCAACGCCGTGAGTAGCATGCAGATACCTCCTTTCTGTAATTACTCCCCCCGCCCTCTCGAAGTAGAACAATACTGGCACCGCCCCTGGGTATGACTGGCAGTCACTTATTCTTACACCGTGATGGCAGTTTGCTCCTCAAGAATGAATCGAATATAACGTTGCACTAGACATTCGTCTTTAGGCCAAACTGTTGGTGCGTCTACAAACGCCTCCTGTATGAACTAAAATAATATTCATCAACTTCATATTCGGAGGAATTACGGGTATGTTAATGGTAATGAGGGGAGCAAATTTTGCGACCATGGGTCGAATTTGAGGCTAAATTATAATATCTCGTTTTGTGCCTCTTTAGAGACGTGACATGAAGGTGGGAATACAATGCAATTTGTTTACATTTCATTGAAGCCGGGGGCGCATGCTGGATGACGTACTATTGAATTTTAAAGTACTTGTCTATGTTAATTAGAGATTTTGTAGGAAAGGAAAAAAAAGGTAAAAAGATGTTTATTTTAAACTGTATGTGAAGCTTGCACGATGAGGAAGCGTCACATACCCGAACCTTCCACCCAAACAACCCAAACTTTCATAGCCACTCTAACTTTGCAAGCTTGAAAAACCACTAGATAACATAAACAATAAGTTTACTATTATTAATAGCATCAAATTACGTACAATCTAGAATGTAAGGTCTACCTTAAAGGGACCCTGAAACGGTTTTTGAAGTTTTGTCAGCGTTTAGGGAAAACTATTCGCACCACAACTTCAGTGACACGCCGTGTACCATGGCCGCTATGGACAGTTATATCCCACCCTCCTTCTCACTGGCCTCTTCCCGTTATGACTTATGAGGCACGCTGGCATCGCTGGCGATTGCAGAGCTCTCATGAGCGCGCTCGACGTTTTGCGCTTACTTTTACTAGTCTATACCTCTGAGATCGCACGCCGACAGGTTGAGCGCAGTCTTGGAGGCCATCACATAGTGCGCCCGGCAGCACTCACGCCGTCTGGCAACAAGACAAAGATTGCGGAGTGGTCTGAGAGGTGCCGCCACCCTATCAGCCGTTCTTACTTCCGAGCATTTTACAACCCATGACAGCCAATCATATCAGCAGCCATGGTGACGTGGCTGCTTACGTTATTGACCTCAGCGGCCAGAACATGTCGCTCTGTGAATGGATGAATGAAAACGCGTTCGGCCGAGTCGCAACGATCCGCACCTGTCTGCAGTGATTCGCAGCTATAAAGTGTTGTAATAAATTACGCAGCTTACGCAGAAAGCTCAAATCTGTCTCTAAATAACCCTTGGGACTTGGCCTACTTGCCCAATGTGTTTGTACAAGATCACCAAAACCGTTTCAAGACGCCCCGGTAGCATCTTAGAAAAAGCTTAGCTAGGCTGTCCATCCATCCATCCATCGCATCACGGAGGAAGGAAATGTTTACTTCCTCTGTGCATCGCATATTTGCTGAAACTGCAAGCTGGTCACGTATTACCATTCATCCATCACATATTTGCTGAAACTGCATGCTGGTTACGTATTAAACTCCGTCGTACTGTCATATGCATGGTACATATCTGCTCGTTTCTTTAGTTTTTTTTTTTAGCAGAGCTACTACTCCTGCTGTTTTGCGGTTCCAGATGTAGACAAGAAACTATCATCATCATCATGATGATGCCGATGCGCGCTCACCTTGTCTGACGTCTTTTGTTTCGCTCCCCAACCACGTGCGCCCGGAGCGCGCAGCGCCGATTTGTCTGGTGGGGGATGAAATTACTCGTACGGGATACAGAACGAGTCCGAGAGAGTTAAAGAAGCGCATAGAAATACAGAGAGAGACAGGGGGGAAAGGATAGGAAGACTGAAAAAGAAACAGACAGAAGACGCCTCTTTCCAAGTCACCTAAGAGCGGGAGGAGGGGGGGGCGTAGTCAGCCCCATTAATTGACATAAAAGGTAGGGGGTGGCTTCGACAACTCTCCCGAATCCTACACATGTCTATGCATGCTACATCTAAGTGACATGCTATATTTTAGTGCAATGTAACTGGGAAAGTAATGAGTAATTTTCTTGAAATCACTCGCATAAAGCAATCCACCATATTTCTAATGTACTAGCTCACAAATGTGACTCAGTACATAACTGGTTACATGAAAATAGACCATCTCCCCGAAAGGAACCCTGATGGTATGCGAAGCAGCAGCGGTGCGCTCGGCGTTTATCCGGTTGAAACGGGCGTCGGCGCCGCTGCTGGAAGAACGGTTTGAAGCGAAACTCAGTTTACTCGAGTAAACGTTTGTTTTAAATGCAAAGACATGGGAGGCGGGTTGAGTTTCGTGTAAGTTTTATCGCAGATAAACGAGCCGAAAGAGTGTCTCCACTCGAGAGTGTGGTCGAGAGTTGCGGGTGGTGCAGAAAGTGAAGTGAGAGAGAAGAGTGCTACGAGTGGGTGAGGGAGCCGGCCGCTGTGGCGAGTGTGCTGCGGGTAAGGGAGAGAGTGGCGTCAGCGTGACCTGTAAGGGAAGCGTGTGAGGGGAGCGTGACGTTAACGTGCATCTGTGGCGTGACCTACTTGGCACCGCTCCAACACCTGTGGCAAGGGGAACACGTTGCGGTGCGTTCGTACGGACGCGCGTACGTACAGCGTTACACACGTGAGTCAAAGAGCTGCTTCGCATCTAATTGTAATTTAATTACTCGAATGACATTGCTGCCAAGATCGAGAAAAATCTGAAGTTTTGCATTTCGGAAAAAAGAAAGTATAATTTCAGGGTGTTCCGCCTTAAAGGAACAGTGGCTACGGTACTCGGCTGCTCACCCAAAGCTCGCGGGTTCGATCTCAGCCGCGGCTGTCACATTTTGATGGAGGCCAAATGGGAGTGGACTGTGCGACGTCAGTGCATGGTAAATAACACAAGATGGTAAAAATTTCCGGAGCCTTCCACTACAGCGTCTCTCATAATCACGTCGTGGTTTTGGGACGTAAAACATCAGATATTAGGGGCAAAGCTCCTCATAGTGGCACCCATTTGTCCCTCGTAGTCGTAGTAGTAGTAGTCGTAGTGTGTAACCAGTCTTACATTTTGACCTCCAAGGTGGTGCCGGTGGGAGATTTCTTCTGTGCGTTGTTGAACAATAAAAAATTCACAGTGTGCACGTTAACTAAAAGCCGAATTCTCCTGTCTCTCATTCCCCCTTAGCAGCCATTGGCATGTACATTGAGCACTATCTGACAAGAAAGGGTTGCTACGTTATACTCGCTAAGCGTAACCTCCTTGGGTTTAGAAAGGTTTAGCGAGCGTTGGGCCGCAGTGCCATGAATACAGTCAACTAGTATATACCATGAACTCGAGGTGGTTAAAGGTGGGAAGTAGACACGAAGCGCAAGCCGTAAGAAAGTGTGCGTGTGCCCCTCTCGTTCAGTCCTTGTAATGTCCGCTGGATGGCGGTGCTTCTATATGAGGAATATATGACGAAAAGATGCGATATGGTGGTACTTGGAGTGTTGAATAGGTGGACGAACGGATACACAGACAGATGCATGGACGGACGCTCGGATGGCTGCACGGACGGATGGACGCATGGACGGACGCACTAGTGGATGCATGGATGAACACAGGGACGGACGCACAGATGGACGTGCGGACACACGAACAGACGCATGCACGGACGGGAGGATGGATGGATGCACGGGCGGCCACACAGACGCACGCATGGACGGGCGGAAGCAAGAACTAATGGACGGACGGATGCTTCGCCCCACTCTCCATCATTCACTCTGTAGATATTCTGCATTTATTATTATTATTATTATTATTATTATTATTATTATTATTATTATTATTATTATTATTATCGTTGTTGTTATTATTAACTTCAGGAAGTAGTAATACTTCATCATAAATAGCTTCGGTGGAGTTCGCAACATTGAGCGTACCTCCCACCGAACCGAGCGCATCGCAGCTCCGCGTGGACGTCGTAATAAAGCTTTTTTTTTTTTTAAGCAAACTCACCCTCTCCCGTTTTACGTCGACGACTGGTAGGTGTTCTGTGGCGGCGTCGCAAGAGCGCTTCGGCGATCGCTGCGGAAAATGACTCCATGGTCGGCAGCGATGGCGAGTGTCGATGGCGCGTTGCTGACGAGCAGCGGTGCGTAGCGGTCAAGGAACGATGGCTCCCATTGAAATCATCTTGAGCCTGCACTGGGATGCGGCGATTGTCCTGCATCCTGCGGCGCCTATTGAGCGCCGCTTCGCTTTCTTCGTGGAGCGCCTCTCAGAAACCACCACCCCACTTGCTGCAGCAGCCGCCCTCTCTCTCACTATTTTTAAGATATTGCTGGCGCTGTCTTTCATGACACTGTCCGTAGAATATGATATCGAAAGCATCTGGCTTTGCCTGACATGCATGTGCGTGTGTGGATGCGTGGGTGTGTATGCGTTCCTTATGTCCAAGCTGAATGCGTGCACCATTCTTTCATAGCCTTCATTTCCGTGGTCGTATGTTCTCTGCGGCATCTGCGGCTCTCTGACAGTACCTTGGAGTTTTCTACTACAGTGCAGAACGTGCCGTCCTTTGGCACGTTCT